TCTGTGTACACTGCTTGTTAATTTACCAAGACTGGGCCAAATTAATTATGATTTTGATGACTCCAGAACCTTGCAGTACACACCAATATTTACATGCTACATGATCAACTTTTTCTGATCCATTTCACACCTTTTCTTTCACAATGCAATCGCATGACCAGAACTCAACTTTATCTTTAATTATCATGATTACACAATATGAAAACAATAATGCGCATCCTTAATGGAGTCATTCGGAGGGTTTGCCCCCCCCCCCCACCCCCACACCTTTTACAAAATTATGGATCCCTGCGTGTGCCAGACTAACCCGTTTTAAATCGAATAGAACTTACTTTGCCAGAGTTATTACTCCCAGGCTCTTTTCGTCTGCTTCGACGATGGGGACCGTAGAGGGCCGTCTAACTCGTTCGCATTGCCCTTCTCTTTTGTTCGACAACACTTTCGACGCCGACACCGACGACCGAGTGAAGAAAATGACGTCGTTTTCGTTGACATGGTCCCAAGGTTTAGTTTTCTTCAATCGCTCCAACTGTAGCGAGAGCAATTCTGGACATTTCATCACTTCGAGTTGTTTGAAAGAGTCTGCATCACCTTCAGACGTTTCACTATTACAAATGAATGCTGCAGACGACGATTCCTCAACACCGATACTGCTATCGTCGCGACGGCACGTGGAGCCCCCTGTGTTGCTAAGCGACCGATTATTATGATTTTTGAGATTGCATCTAGCACGTGGTATTTCATAGGGTGATCTCTTATTCATGTATTCCATGTTCATCATATACTCCAACCTACAATAGCACAATGTATTACTGAGAAGTTGGTTAAAACGTTTGTCTTTTCTAGCACCGGCATAAAACGCCCATCATCCCCAAGGTAACTCTAATATGAACAAAACGTCTAATGGATTGCGTGAAAACAACGGAAAATTAGTGTTGTATTTTTATTAAACAAGAAGTTTTGCGCATTTAAAGGTTAATGAAAGTTTCGTTGGAATCATGCAATTGCAGAAAATACAAAAAATACTTAATATGGTTGATGTTGTTTCTTTCTTGTGTATTCTGAGCTTGTAGTCCTTACTGCATTACCCTATAGAGCGTAGATGCTTCATATTAAGTTGTCTTTATTTTTCTTCGAGCGTTCCCTACATAATTTCGTCATCTTATATTTTGCATCAATACTGTATCAGAAATTAAAATTGAATATTTCAAATTCAGTGAATCTCATCTACTTAAAAGTGATGCTCAATCGAAGGCACACAAACAATTGAATTTGGCAGATAAGCCATTTGCTTTTGTCAAAGACAGATTCGTAACTTTTATATCACTAAAAACGATCACTAAAAACGAGTGAAAGCGCGATAATAATAAGCGAGTTCTGTCCGTTCTATTTCATAACATAATAATTCTTTCATCACATTGATATGTGATTACATAGAGATGGAAAGTTTAGTAACCATTAAGATGAAATCACATATGCATCCGCTTATCCGCGGCGCCCCTCTGCATCCCGTCTGTGAGTGGTGACTTTTTGGTCCTCTCAAAAGCTTCTCTCTAAAGCAGCTTCCTCATCCGAAAAATCGCATTGATGCCTTCCAGAAATACAATCCACGCTCCTTGGAAATATCTCTCTAAAAAAAATCGAGTGATCACGGACGTCACTCCTCAGGAGAAAATGTAGTGAACATTAACTCTTTTCTTCTTAGAGAGCACTCTAAAATCAGTTGATTTTCACTCCTAAACAAGACATAGTGATCACGGACGTCACTCTCAAGAAAGTGAAAATAGAGTGATTTTACTCTTTTTTTTAGAGAGAGAGGGTATACATATGCTGAATTCCCATCTTATTTAGTCGCATCCTCATCCCAAAGATCTTGTAAGAATGTCATGATCAACCATCTTTGAACAGATTTATGCCAGTGATACCGAGCAGTATTTCCAAAGGCAAAGTAGCCACTTTCAACCACTTTGAGGCTAAGATCAGACAAGGCATCAAGACGGGTATCTCAAGAGAATGCCCAGTGGAGGCATGATTGTCCTGTGGATGGAGTAGGACCGTACAGTCACTGATTCAAAACAAATTCGATGCGCTGTTACCCTTTGGTAGGAAATATATCCTATAATAATTATTCCCAAGTCTCTCGGATAAATCGTATATCAATTGACTCCATTCTTAGCAGTCAGCTAGAATATAAATCAACAAATATTCATAATCAGTTTGATCACCAGCCTTTAAAGATGTCCTTCTGCCTCCGCAGATACATTCAACATAATCGTCAGCAGTCGAACTTCGAAATGACGACCTACCGTCTTTCCTTAGCTGTTAAAACTTAGGAAAGCTTTTGACTAGCATTGTGTCAACAAAACAGATACATTGGCGTCCGTTTCTTTGTTTGGCGATAAAAGCGAATCAAAATAATGCTCCTTTGTTTCCGTCAAGAAATCGCTACAAATTACTCTCAATAATTTGCTCAGTCCCGTTAGGATATAATTCCGTTTCGAGTCCATTTAGACGACCTTTGCATGATTCTTTTTCTGGAAGTATCAATATATCGGATCATCCACGGTTATTTGAACCAATACTTTCATATCATATAGTCCAATAATACGGTTGGTTTTGTTGTCATTACGCTGTCACTTCGATCCGTGTTGGGAAATCGCAACAAAATTTCAATGGAAAGATGTTAATCTGAGCATGGATCTACAGGTCCATGATCTGAGTGAGGCAATTCTGTTGTTGTTGACAAGATCCAAACGTATAGCTGTTTTCAGCCGTGACATTCCTGAAGCGGCTAAAATGGAAATAATCAATGTCATGCATATTCTCACGTTCGTGTGCGACTGTAAAATCTGTGTCAACAATTCCTCAACACTAAATTCAATTAATATTGATTAGAATTCCAAAGTAGTTGCATGATATCCAATCCACCCATAGAGACGCGATGGCTTAGTGGTAGAACATTGGTCTTGTAACCTGCAGATCACTGGTTCGAAACCAAGTCGATGCGATAGTGCCATCTGGTAAAACATTGATTTTCATTACCAACTCTCTCAGAGAGGACTTGAAGCCGTCGGTTTCCTAGTTGATTTCTTAAAAGCATACACATACTTTCTTAGCAGTCAGATGAGAACAAACTATATCAAACCAAACCAAATACAACCATTCAATTTCATGGATTATTAGGTGCTCAGCAATTAAAATCCAACTCTGAAGTCCGAAATTGCAAGACGCGTATACGACATTGGCTACCCATGTTGTCAGAAGTTCTATTCATTATGTTCAAATCCATGAAAGAACTTGGAACGGTATGGTGGGTTTAATTTTGGCTAACGACGCTCAGTCGCGACGGAGGTCCAGGCTAGGTTCTAAAATATCAACTTGCTCAGGTATACCATGGTCATACTCTAGGCTCCATTTCAAAACAAATCTGAAGTTAAAGTTTGTCCGTAAGAGATCCTGAACGGATTTGTTTCAAGCGAAGTTATTTTGATGGAAACAGAATACGGCACTCTGTTACCTATATTCTAAATGCGGTAGAAGGAATTTTAGCAATGCAGCTCTCAACAGAACAAATAGAGTATAACGTTGTATAAAACTAAACAAAATGATACGGCAATAGTAAATTTACACTAATAATTTATTATGTTTAATCCATTTCACACAGGGGTATACACACATAGCCTAGCTTAAATATTTTCACAATTGCTTGAGTAAATTGGACTAAAGGGCATGCAATAAAGTAATAAAGATGGAAATATACAATCGGTTATTTCATGAGTTTGAGTTTAAATTAATCGTGGATAGGTTCAAAGGGGTGTTATGCGGCATTATCTTTAATAGGTCCAGAGAGAATAAACAAATATGCTACCAGAAGATGCTCAATTTGTAGATGATTCCCCCCCCCCCCCTCTGGACGGGGCAAGATCAAAGATAGTTCCCCTAACATGGATGATTTTGAAGGCACTCAAGGGCCCGAATTCACAAAGGAGGTTCGTCGACAAACCGAGGTTTATGTACGTCATATGACGCGTTTTGACGCGTTTTTTTACAAACCTGGTTTGTAAAAAACAAAAGGAGGTTTGTCGAAACAAAAGGAGGTTTGTCGACAAACTAGCTCCTTTGTGAATTTGGGCCATTAAGTCCAACAAAGATTTAGAGTATAGAATAGATAAGTATAAGGGTAGACTTGCTTTTCATATTCAAAAGTGGAGGATAGACTTTATCTGATGTTCATAATGTATAATCAATTAGAAGACATATTTTTTATAGCATTTTCATTGACTTTGTTTACATATTTACTTTTCCACTGTCATCTACCTCTAATATCTTGTTATGTCTTGTTCATCGTGATTGTTTTTTGTTCTTTATTAATGAGAATCGAAATTAAAAAAATTATCAAAGAGAGTTTTGAATAACCATTAATATCATATAAATAAGGAATATAAACATTTAAAAAGATACTAACTATTTAAGGGACTATGTCCCATTTGCAGGCCAAAAAAATGAAAAAGTTAAATTCCAACTGCATTTGAAAGATAATACTAATTTAGAACTTCCCTGAAAAAGGTGGGGCTTGAAAATGTCTTCAAGTGGGAAAATAACGACTATTAGTTGTCAAATCGACTTTAGGGCTATAGAGCCCAAAAGTAATAGTCTTGATTTTCAGACAATTGTACCGAATGGTCATACGTTTTATGCTGCACAAAGATTCAATCAGTTTCATCTTGGCCATCACAAGAAGTGGGTTATTGATGTAGACAAATGCTCATGTACCCTTTACAACTCTTTTCATGTATGTTATTACCAAAGAAGAAAAAAGGCCAGTCAGTCACTCAATAGTGTCTGACAGTGAAGTCTAGCAAGTAAACGGTTTTCCTTGCATTATTTGAATATGAGGATACTGCTAACGTTTAAATTTCACAGATAGGACATACATGACATATTCATAATTCCTGCAAAGTTCTACAGCATTTGAGGTTGGCTGCAAAAGGGACATAGTACCTTTAAGACAGTATTCGTGACTAAATGTAAGTACACCTACATAAATTTCATGGCATTACATTTATATATACAGTGAAAAGGAGTTGCTTGGTAATTCTCCAGTGAGTTCATGTGTTAGTATAAAAAGCACTCGAAAACGAATTCGAGTGCAAAAGATCTAGTTTTCTCGACATCACTATAGAGTTCGACCTCGTCATCATACTCCATCTTTAACGAATATAGATGCCGTTCCCGTTGCCGTCCCATACATATTGCTTCCCCTACATTCGTACATGGCGGCATCGTCCAGGCTTACGTCGACGATATCGAGCCACGTGGTCACCATGAACTTCTCCGGTCCGCCGTGCTCATGAACGACGAAACGGACGTCGTCGCCGGGGATGACGGGGTGGGTGGACGATTGGAGGAGGCTCCCTTTTCGTCGCCAATCGACCTTCGGCACGGGCTGGGAGGCGAACTGACAGTGGAGAAGAGCGCGATCGCCTGAGCGTAGTACGACATCAGAGGGCGACATCATTAATATAGGAGCTGAGGAAGAATCGTCATTGAGGAGAAGAAAAAGAGGATTAGACAAAGATTTTACAAATACAATCATAATTTTTATAATTGTAAATAAGTAAACATAAGGTATGTCTATTGGGCTGTATTTTAAACGATTTATCTGAAAAATTCCCACATTTCACATAGGAGACTATAATCATAGCAAGGGTTTAGACATTAAAAGCATAGAGAAGAAATTGCGAATTGTGAAGGTTAACCATACGATTAGGAGTTGGATGAGGGGAGGAGTACTATTTGATTGATAATCTTCTTTGTTGCCATTTTCTCCTTTCCCATTCCCTTTTCTTTCCACTTCCCCTCCTTTACACAAAACAGTTTTCCTCTTTTGGGGGCCATTTGTTTTTGGGGGTACATTCCACCCTGCCCCGCTCCCCCTCCTCCTGTCGATACGTCACTGATTTTACATGTTCCAGCCGGTCTGTAATGTTTTGATAACCGACCGACATATCTCAAAATTTAAAACCAAGATAGCAATGAAATTTGAGTATTCCCTAAGTCAATACTGACGACAGCATGTAGAGAACAGATAAACAAATATTGCTGGGTATAATATCTAGTACAACACAAACAGAGGTCGAAATTTATGTTTGGGAACTACTTTTATTCGTGCTCAGAAATTGTTGCCGCCAACTCCCCCCCCCCATCCCGGTGTTCCCCGCAGAGTTTCACGGTGCGTTTGTCATTGCCTATACCTCAGAAATGAGAATTTGACAGATAGCAGCGAGATTCACCATGGATGTTATATACCTTTCATCAAATGATGGGTTTGAAAATGATTATTTTAGGATGTTTTCCTGCAAATTGATTGGAAATCCAAACAAAAATGTGAGAAACAACACGCCTCGCAGTCAGAAAAGCATGGTTTACATCGTATCTTCAGCAGCCATAGCCCCAAGACATGAAAATGTCAATATCGGCGGGATTATGGGCATTTTGAAAAATTTGAGAAACGCTCTCTCAGATTGTTCAAACAAATCATGTCTCGTGTCTACTGATTCTTACATTTTGTGATTAAATCTACTTTTGTTTCTTATGGACAGACTTTTCTTAAGTGCATGTATAAATGTCTAAAATGTGAAAATTAAGTCTTCTGAGAAAATTCAAACCTCATATAATATTTCTGTAATTGAATATGACGATAAGATGATAGAGCATGTAATTGTTTTCTAATTATTTTGACACTTTGAATAGTGAATGAAAAAGGGTGGTATATACTAACCTCCCTTGCACATTCCAGGTGCAACTTCCTTAATCACCATCTTCGAATCCTTCTCGGCTTTCTTCATCAGGCACCTGTTGTCGTAGGTGACACCGTCTGATCCGCACACCATCTCATCGTTCTTGCACACGCAGACGGTCTCGACCGACCTCAGGTACGCATGCACCGCCATCGAGCGAATATCAGACGACCTCCAAGGCAAGTCCTTGACGGGGCGACAGTGCATGTCACCCCAGCAGCTGCCGAAGTGGTACTTCGTCGGGTCCCATCGGAACGACATCGGTTCGACGTCCGAACCCGTTCTCGTCGCCAACTTCGAAAAGAACGCTTCGTATTCGGAGAACGTGCCGTTGTCGGGATCGCAGTACTCGCCGAGGCCGTTGGCGCAAACGTCGCAACATCGGCATGGGTCGCGGGTGTCTTGTATCGTCCCGTATGGACAGCGATCGACGATGTCGGGACATCGGCGACATTTGCAGTTACATTTAGTATTATTACCGACTCTATCTCGATGGTGACTGACATACTTTTCGCAATCTTTGTCGGGTTTAAAACTCGGTGACCCATGGGCGATTGTGAATGAAAGTCGAATTGCTAAAATTGCACACAAGATAATGTTGAAATCCATGTCTGTCTTCTGGTTTCTAATTGCAGTGGACAGCAGCTGTATTATTTTCAATGCCGGATCCTAGACAAGTTTTTTCCGTTTGCTATCCTAACAGGTTATAACACTTTTTGTCCATCATTTCCAAAGATCTCTCGAGAGACTTTAAACGAATGATCAATTTCCATTTTCTTTTACATCTTGCTAAGTTTCACACAGGGACAGTCATTATCAAATATCGCACATCATTCACGATTCGTCACCCGAAAAATGTTTTGGTTAGACCAAGCAGTTGATTTTACAAACGTCTTCACCGACCAAAACAAAAACAAAACAAAGAAGATTATGACGTTGATGCCCAAGAGAAGTTTGATGCAGCTGGTATAACGATAAATAGTAATCCAGTAACCTCAAATTATCCTTCGTTTTCCAACAAGAGTATCTCTCCTCCAAGATGTTCGTCAACGGTTTCCTTAACCCAGCAATGGCGGCTTTCAAGATGCTGTTACAATCTTCAACTGTTTTTCGGCCAATGCCAAATGAAAGATTTAAAGTTGCTGTTGTTCTCACAGGTTTGCTTACCAGTTAATATGACTAAAAATGTTCAAATCATGCAGCATTTTCTACTGCATCGTTTGCCTCCCAAGAAGTCTCCCTCTCGTTTGCGAATAAAGCTCATCTCATTTCTTTACCACGCGAAGATGAGCTTGTCGTTCAAAGGGCATTGAACTCGGCGGGCTACCGGCGGAAGGTGTCACCGAGATGTTAATTCTCGCCTGGTTCCGCTCAAGAGTGAAAAGGAGGGTACAGATGGGCTCATGATTGCACCCATCGGGGGTTGCCAGGCATCCTGGTAGGTCCGTATAGAGATGGGGAGACAGAGAGAGAGAGAGAGAGAGAGAGAGAGAGGGGGAGAGGGAGAAGGGGATGGGGTACAGAGAGACCGGACGGGGCTGTCTTCTATTTATACTATACGTTGGGTTGAATGTTATTTTAACATTTCCACGAAAACAGAGCAGGTGAATAAAGTGGTCCTTTTTTAATAGTTGCAGATATTTGGCAAAATTATGTTTTAAAAGCAATTTGGACCACAGCTGGGTAGAAAGTGACGAGAAACAAGAGAGGGATAAAAAGAGGAAACAAATAGTCATAGTAAGAGAGGGGAAGGTGGGTAGTAAGAGAGATGGGAGACAGGTGGAGAAAAGGCGAGATAGACTCGTGCCGAAAGACGATTGGAAATAGAAGAGAGAGAGAGAGAGAGAGAGAGAGAGAGGGGGGGGGGAGAACGAAATGGCAAGATAGACGGAGACACGATAAGTGACATGAAAGAGATTTAAACTCTCAGAGGGAATGAGAGTGAGACAGAGAGAAAGAGAGAGAGAGAGAGAGAGAGAGATGACAAAATAGGTGGGGGTGCAAGAAAGCAGGAAAAATGCTAAGAGACTCGAGATGAAGAAGCAGACATGCATGACATTACCCAGGTGAAATAAAGAGCCCTAGAGCGGTAACATCAATGTTATCCCTAAATTATTTGGTATCCCGCAAGGGGGCGGGCACGAAGACCTCGATTTACCATCACAAAGGTTATCGTATATCTGGGGCGTCAGGTAAGGTGCCCCGCTGGCTCTCCGCATGCTTCGTGTACTTTGTACACCTGAGGAGAACTCACTTTTGCATGGGCGGCATATTTTTTTGCAGTCGAAAACTATAGCAGCGCAGCAGAAAACATATCTCAATATGTAGAATGTATACAGACATACCTGACTCCTGTCTGGGAAAGGGAATTGTCTTCTAATGACGATTAGAACAAAATTTGTACTAATGCCCGAACAAAATGATGTGTATTATTTGTTTTGTAAGATGATGTTCTTTTTATATTTAAAAAAAAATAAAATTATGTTTTATAACATGATTTTACTAATGACCGGTCATTAGTAAAATTACGTGTTAGGTAAAATAAATGCCTGGTTACATGTATGCTCTCAACCAATCATTTGATTAGGATTCGCTTCATCTTTAATAAAGCGCAATATACAACCTTTCTATGCGTCTCAAATGAGTATCCTGTTTCTATAGCTCTTGCTGGTGTGATGCATAGTACATTACAATAATCAATCCTAGCAACATCAAAAATCTTCTTACTAAACCTGGGTCGAGAGAGGCAAATACAGATTAATGTCTTGCCAAAGGACATTTGTCGTGAAAGGGGCTCGAACCTCGAACCTTCTTTTCTCCGGCCAAGTGATCAAACCACTGGAACACGGCACATTCTTAAACTGGTAATAATGCTGTCTCAAATTGTTTCAGACCCCACCCTAACGTGTTTGTCTCCCGATCATAGTACCCCTCCCCCCCCCCCCAATCATCAGTAGCCTTAAACATTATCGCCCAGTATGCACAGGAACTCGAATTTCAGAAAACATCGGCAAAATTCGGTTTGGATGTGTTCCGAGATAGTTCGTATGCTGTTAATTTTATTGAGATATGTGATGTCATAATACAGAATTTTCTTTCGTGAATGTGATCATAATTATCTTCCATCATGTAACGCAACTGGTCCAATGCTATCGGATGCGAACAGCTGGTAAAGGTGAACGTACTTTACAACAGAACTCAAAAAGCTCATACCATCACGAAAAGTCTCATATCTCAGGAGAACTAGTCGACATGTCCTGATAGCTGGCGCTATAACAAATATGGTTTCGATGGTGCAAAGAGAAAACTTGGTTCACTTTGGGCAATCTTGCCTAATAATCATGATAATACATAGTACAGGTGATTGCATGTATTCCAATTACATGCGTTTTATGAAAGCATTATATCAACCAAAATAGAGCTAACTTTGAAATTCCAAAATTTACCCCAAAAGTTTACAAATTTCAATAAATCATAATGATATTAATGAAAAAAGATCATAAGATACTCTGATAGGCGTACGCCTACGACGAGAAATAATTTAATCGGTGGTCTTATTAATCAAGCCACTTCTCTACAGACAGCGAATTAAATTCTTGCTTACACCCCTTCCCCCTCCCCTCCATCATTGCCCATGGCAAGTTTTGGATGGGTTTTCCGAAATTAAAAACAAAATAAAACACAAATAAAGCGAATTGCACCACGTACAAAACATAAATGACACATTGATGTACACACAGCTTTTGTAACGTTACAATGCAATAAACTTATTCATAATTTGTACATTTTCTTTGCGAAATTAAATCATATCTTGCATCGACCATGCGCTTCCTTTGAAAGCAATTACAGTCAAACCTCCTTTAGTGACCACCTGTCTACAAAGACTACAGTTTTTTTCTTTCCCTTGAAAATGGATTCTCATTGAAACATGTACTATAGGCATAACGACCGCCTGCCTATAAAGACCACTTGTCTTGTCTTGTTCACTGTATTTTTGTGTTGTCTCTTAGATGTGTTAGACCCACTTTGTACTACCAGATACGTGCTAATTTGATCATTCAAATAATCCATTGTTCATGTAGACAGCATCTCTCGATGAGGTAAATTGATTGGTCCAACTGCTAAACGCCAACATAACCATCATCATATCATGAAAAGGATTATTTGCTCGAGCTAAGTTATGGGGCTCAGATCTTACAATTCAACCCCTCACGGTTAGATCATGAAAAAAAGTTGTTTGCTGTAGTCAAATATTCGGTTCAGAACTCGATCTATTCACCCAACACACATCACGAACATGTTCCAATATTTGTCCAGTTGAGTAATGAATGTCGCAGATCATGGCTTTAAACAATAGGTTGTAAGTGTCTCCTAGAGTCTAGAATATTAGTAACAAATGGTACCAATGTTATTCCTTGTGCACTTTCCGAATTTCATATAATTCTTTGTGACAATTGTTTAATGATTTGGAAGAATTCGAAAGAAAGAAAAAACAAGCTCATAGTTAAAAGTCTTCCATTTGGGGATAATAAAAAGGAAAGTTTCATAGCTCAAATTTCTAATTATACGAAGCAAACATATTTGATTTACTGATACAACCAATACCTGACAAGGCTGACAACCTGCCTAAATCAAATTTCTTATAAATGTTTACAGTCTTACCAAATGGTCTCTATTATGGTATTACTTTTCCTGTAAACACTTTCAACTTTGTTTCATTTTTCAACTATATATCCCCGTCACTTTTGGTATAAGCCCTACACAGAGTGGCGAGAGTGCAGTATCTTTATATCCGATCTAAATCATTGATTGGCCGATTGAAATAAATTTCACCTAACAGCTAAGAATTCAGTTTGCCAAAGCCCCCATGCATCAGAATAAAATCAATAAAACCACAATTTTCATTCTATTCCTTGTGTACCATTCACTCGGACGTAGTGAGATGGGACGCACATGCACGATTCTAGCCGTTACCACGACAACGGGTAAATAACCTCAAACACCTATGAACTTAGGGGTCAGCGCTGTAGGATCATGGTTATTAGGCTCATTCACACGCGCACATTTTGTGATATTCAGATCGCGATTATAATATCAATTTTTTTCCGTTTAAACACAGGAAGACAAGCGCTGTATCTTTCTTTGTACACATGCTTATTCCCTTTTTGGCAAAATAATCGTGATTAATACAAAAATCGCACTTTAAGTGAGATTCTGACCGCGATTAGGATTTCACTTTTTAGTGACATTTTTATGTTCACATACAGCCAAAAGAAGTGAATTTCTGATCGCGATTCAGAAGCTATGTTGTCATCTCACTAATTTATCTCTGTGTGAATCCAACTATACATTATGTTCGAAACATGGAAAAGAAAGTGACGTGTGTAGGCGATGTGGTTTGTTGACGTGAGTCCTTGATGCTCACTGTTGTTAGTCATAATTATAAGGTATTGTAGAGTGCCTATATATAATCACACGGAAGATGTAAATAAGTATTTTTGGTGTTGGATTGTTTCAAAACTACGTTGAATATTGATCATTGTTGTATTTAGTTACATTTGCCACTTGTCATGTTTGTATTTTTCCATCTCAGTTACAGCACAAAAGTCACGATTAACAATGTTTATGAAGTTAGTGCTATTTGATGCATGCATTTAAATCCAAAGGCAAACGTGACGGGTTTTTTTTTTGTTCAGCATCCGGAAGCACAGCCCATCCCCCCCCCCCCCCACACCTCCTCCTCATACCACTTTAACATGAGATTAAATCAATGAAATTACCACCATAACTCTGTTTGGTAACCTAACTTTTGTTCGGTCATGTACGCACGTCTGCCCTTCAAATGAGCCGAGTTACAAGTATGACAAGCTCACCTACAAGACAGAAAACAACCATTCCTTTACCACCGTGTCAAGTCCTTCAAGAAGAAATCGATTATGTAGAATATGGGAAGTAACTGAAGAAGATTGCACAAGAGAGTGGCGTAGTATGAGCCAAGGCATTAAAGAGGGTATACTCGCATCGGGCTCACATCGAAGGGGCTCCCATCTTACTAGGTGGACGAAATGCAAATTATCTAAGCAAACGAAAAAAGGGGGTGGCATGGGAAAGTGTCCTATCGACCTCTTTTTTTGTTTATTTTCACCTTTTGCTTTCTTTTCTCTCTTTTACGATCCATTTTAAGTTGGTCCTATATCGTCTTCCTTTAAAGTTCCTTACCCCATCTCCATTTCCTTTTCTCTCTTCTTCCGTTATATCACTTTTTTCTTCAACATTCGGTTAGGAATGTGCCCCTGCCCCCCCCCCCCCTCCCGGCCTCCCGCAGACCCGCCACTGTTGGACAAAAAAGCAGTATGTACCTCATGTGGAGCAAGCTTAATAATACTATATCATGATCATAGATTAGAATGAACAAGGAGACAATGGGTGACTAGGAACGCTGTCAACATCATTATGTCATATCGATTTGCCAACTCCCCCAGG